CGAGGTATGCCATAATGCTTGTATATTCTACACAATTATTTCAAAGAAAATGGCATTAGCTATAAATTCTTCTTCCAGAAACGCAACTGAAAATGAGTAAGCCAAAAAACACAAACTTCGTTTTTAGGAAACTGGTATCATGCTACATGTTCTTCCTATTCCTCATGAAAAGTGGTCCATAACAGATGTGTAATGTTTTGGAAGTTAACCAAAGTATTTGATGTTTGTTATCTGTAGAAGAAGTCTGAAAGCTGGTGGGTTTAGAACAAATAGAAAGAAAAATTCATTTGTTTATTACAAAATTTATACTGCTATACTAGGGTTTAAAAATTTGAAATAGTGCCAAAATCAACACTGTTATCACTGTAAATCAGCACTTGGTTTATGACTGTAAAAACTCCCAAATCAATGTTCTCAGCAGCTTTTGTTGGCCCTTTCTCGTTGGCAAAACCCCTAAAGCAATTCCGATTACTACATAGAAATTACAACTTCCTATCAAAATACATTACCAAGACCTCGATCAAGAAATATTACCAACATAGACTATACTGAATGACACAATGATGCCACCTTGATTTCGACAGCATAGAGGCAGCGTCCATGACGGCGGTATGACGATGCTTGTTACGAGTCCAAATGTAAGTTTTAAGCCAAGAGTGAAATTAATATTCTTACAAGTAGCCAATGTAGATTTAATATTCCACTACCACCCTAATTTTTCGAAGTTCCATGGACAAGAAATGTACTTCTAGATTCTAAAACGAGCTTATATGAATCATGAAATGTATAGTAACTTCAAATCAGCTTCCATAAAATTAAAAGAAATGGCGAAACTTCTTTTGACTCTCCGAAAAAGTATCACTTCGAAGTAACGTTCGGCTGCATTTCTTCTAAACTTCACCTACCATTCGTCAAAATTATCGTCAGGTGGATGCACGCGTACCACATCGAACAACCATTTGAAGTCATTAAGTGTAGCAGCAAAAAGAAAGAAAGAAAGAAAAGGATATTAAAGTTTCCTGCAAAATAATTTTGTTTCTTTCCTCTACCATTAGATGGCAGTGCTGTTCGTTCCCATTACCGTAAAACTGAGTACCCAGTTTCCTATTAATGACCATTAAAGAACCGGCCTTATATTATCATATTTTCCGTACGCTTAATTCAAGCGTGTAGGGAAGCACTGTTGGCGGGGGGGGGGGAAGTATAACGAGGTCCGGAACTTGGAATTTTTACGGCTACTCGAAGATACGCCAGGGGTAATATAATCGGACGCTGTCTGTTCCTTCTTACCTTTTACCTCTAATTTTAAGAACACTGAGAGATAGTTGGGGTGGGGGATGAAAATTAGAGGAGACTTAAATTCTAAAAGAGAGCAGAATTTCCTTTATGAGAAGAGCTAATGTTCCAAATGATTGGCAGCTTTATTAATGACAGCATGAGATCCTTTAAAATTAAGTTTACTGCACACTAGGCTAGAAGTTTTACTCACAATGTGTTCCATCTTCGTAGCCTTTAAGGAGAATTTTTTCCCTCCTTCTTTTCCCCAAACACTAAAATCACGCCATTTTGCAAAAGAAATTTATTCTGGATTAAGCATTTTATACCATTAAAGGAGTTACCAGTATAACATATAAATATATACAATAAAATAAAATGCAATAAAAAGGGAGATCATTTCAATGGTTACCCTTCTCGAATGCCCGAAATTTCAAGTTTAAAAATAAATTAAGACCTTTTGCTGTGTAACCTTTACAAATCATATATAATGTTTTCTTTTGTACAAATTTATGTAGACTGTGAGTGGCAACAGCAGAAACAAAAATAGTTGTAGAATAATGTTTAAAAAAGATCATCTTTAAAAAGTGAATAGTAAATTGTTTTCTTAAAAAGACTATAGTTATGATATTTTATACAAGACTTGCTTTGGTTTTACATTATATTTTCCAACACTGCAATGTAAAATCTGAATAATAATGACAAATATACACAACTTCTAGTTTCTTAAAACACTTCTATGGATATAACGTCTGTTCCTAACAACATAATCATCAGTGAAATATTTTAATAACTTGATTTTAAAATACTGGATTCAAAATGCAGAGGTTACAACTCTGTATATTTTGCTGGGGTCTAAATTGTGTTTTTTTACACAATTCTGCACTATGAATGCATATATTTGCCAGGTTTAATTACTTATGCACAAAATTAGCAATGTATTATTCTTTATATTCATACTGAATATAAATTGAATTTTCAGAATTCCCAGTGTTTCTTAAAGATTGGTTTTCTTCAAATCTATTTTGACATTTAGATATTAATAACTAAGTTAGTATATAATTACAGCAAGCATACACATTTTCCTGCATGAGCATGAATTATGCAAATTTAAGCAAACATTGATTGGAAAAATTAATAAACACAATATATGAAACCGATAAATTAACAGATGTATTCAAATTAAGATTCTGCATAATTGTTTATTATTTTACACTTTCGTCTGGATATCTATCATATGGGGATTTCAGCAATATTTTGAAATTTCAGAAAATCCCAAAATAATAAATACTGCATTGCCAAATGTAGCTGTTTTCTTATTTCTTAAACTGACTACTTACAACATTTCAGAAGCTAACTGCGAAAAACAGATATGCAAAAGGGAAAATATACAAATAAAAAATTAATCTCCTTTTATTGAGATTAATTTTTTATTTGTATAATTTTGTATATTTTCCCTTTCACCATTTTTATTTTTCGATGTTATTCTACTATAAATACCCTCTTTATTTCTATTAGTTCTGATATTATGCTATAACTCTTATACATGGTTAAAATTATTATATTATAGAGGAATTGTTTTGCTTTTATTCGAATTTTTAGCCTATTTATATAAATTCATTTTAGTGCGTTATCTTTATCAGTAACTAAAGTAACAGTATAAACTAAGCATATATATATTCACAATTTTTTTTTAACCTGGTTTGACTTTTACGACCAAAGTATTTTTCTGTCATAAGCATCTTTCCTTCGCTTTTGTTGCCCTAAATTTTATTTTCTTATCTCTGTTGATACATTTACTGCTGCCTTATGCATGGTTATATCAGTACACTTTTCTTTATCTTCTTTAATTATTTTATAAACAAATCGATATGTTTATTAAATTATAATAATATCTATAGATAGCGATCAGATTTCAAGTACTGCTTTTTTATCCACGACTACTTCACTCAGCAAACTATTTTTACATAATAATGATATGTTTAAGAAGAGTTTAAACTCAATTCACAAATTTTTCATGGCCACAGCTGCATTATCTGTTTGTTCCTGCAGCAAATCAAATGTTATACTCTCTTCGATGTTTACATTGAAAACTTGTTATCAGTCTTCCTGCCAAACAAATAAGTAAAATGCTTAAGAAAACAAGAATTAGCAACAGAAATTGAAATTGCATAAATATGCAATAGTAAAACTCAACAGAAATTGAAATTGTATAAATACGCAGTTGTAAAACCTCGAAGGTCATTTTCGCATTCATAGCTGAAGATTATGTTTGAACTCTGAAACTAAATTACTACACATTTCATTACTTTATACTAATTTCAGAGGTGCCGTTGGTCTTGATTTTCACTTTTTTTTGGTCTGTGTCACTTTCAGATAAAAGAATATTGCCACCAAATGTTATCGCCATATATTTTTTTTAAAAAAATAGTATAGCGAATATAAAAAATAATGTATGGCAAGACAAAAACAGGATGCTGCCACCAAATGTTATCCTGATGCATTATTTTTAAAGCCATAAATACAGCAAATCTAAAAAAAAAAAGTATAACACTTGGCATTCTTTCCGGAATTCTAAAGACATTTTTAAATATTTTGCAATTTTACTGGTGAATTTGATGTGCCATAAGTGTGATGAAGTAATGTTAAATAAATAAATAAATGCAAAAAAATAATAAAAAATAAAAAACTGTAAATCATCTTTTTTACGGTTTAGTTTATTACAGCAAAGCACTGGAGAGGTATCTGCCAGAAGCATGGATGTAGTCTACCCAGACAAAGTCTGTAACGTGATTCATTTTTAGGTCTGTCAAATTAATAGAACTTAAAAATAAATAAATAAACAATAATAAAAAAAAATTGCATCTTGGTGATTCCGTTAGGATGAAAAATGAATTACAACACAGTATTTGTGAAATTACATGGAGTAAATTTTCAAAGCACTCAGATGGTTTGTATGTTTACATTCTGCAGCATCTTATTAATATTTAATAAAGCAAACACTGAAAAATGACCTCTTACTAGATTTATAATGGATACAATTAATAATATATTACTGAATATAATTTTAGTTATAATACATACTTTGTTTTATTTAACACTTTAAGGAGCTGCTAAAATTAAAACATTAACATAGCTATTAATATTTTCTGTATTTAAAATATGCTTCTAGCAGTGAATGTATGTATTACATTCACAGTAATATTCCAGTTCAAAGGAATTCCAACAATCAGCATCATCATTCCAAGGATACAGTGCTAAATCCAACTTTGCAAAGAGCTTAAGTAACTAACTACTGTAAAATAGATACCCGATTCTTCTCTTTTACATTTCAAGTTGCAATCTTTCAAACTGCGATACCACTCTCCATTACACAGATGAAGAATAATGCTTTACAGTTAACATTACGTTACATTACATATACATAATATTATATGGAAACAAACCATGCTCATTACAAACTTAAAACTAGGGAAAATTCCACATTAGATTAACGGCGGTTTTATATAAGTAACTAAGCAGAATATTTTTGCTCGTTAAAGATGGTCGATTTCTAGCAAGTTTCCGTCGTGGGGGGAACCAAAGGCTTAATTTTTTCTTAACTTTAAAAATCATAATATTCTTCTCGCGTTTCGTAAGAATGCACAACTCAGTCAATATAGAACTTCCGATGAACCTATTTCCGCTGATAATTAACCAATGTAAACAAAATACATCCGACTTACCCTTATTTCCTTCGTATCGCGGCTCGCCATCGGTTAATCCAATAGAAATATCCGAAATAAGCACACAGTATACCCACAGATAAAAACCCCTCCACCGTTGATGACACATAATCGGGGAGAGTGGAACACGACAAGCCGATACACTCTGCAGCTGCGGCCACACCAACGTCCCGCAAGAGAACAACTCGCTAGCTACGACTGCACTTCTCCATCGCTACGGCTGTTGTGGCAGCAGATAGCTGTTCTTCCCTCCACCACGTGGGAAGGCCACCCACCTCGCATCGCTACCTCCCTCCCTCCCTTCGGCATAAGTCACTCATCGGTTTCTAAGACTGGGGATGCATTCGCCGTTGATTACTTTATGGTCGTCCCCCAAACGCTTTGGGCGACATACGCTCGGCACGGATGGACAGGCTATATATATGAGTCATGCCGCGTGTTACAACAATGCGTGGTTCGGTGCTTAATTCTATGCAGGCACAGAAGTCGACCAGGGATGATGTCGATTTAAATCCCCGTCGCAAAACAGGAAACGCCAGATCAGCCATTCCCCTTATCACTCCATTATCATCACCAAAGGCTGGGTCAATTTTGGGCAGAGGCAGCAAGCCGTCGTCAAAACTGAAAGAATAAAAAACCGGGACGAGAATTGCGGAGATTTCTAATTGTACAGGATCCAAACTAACAAGTTCAGCTCATTCCTTATATCGCCGACAGAAAAAAAAAAAAAAAAAAAAAAAAAAAAACACTTTTCCGAAGGAGGGGTTAAGATTTAAGACAAAAAAGTTACATTGATAAATTTTTAGCCCAGAAGGGCTATTAGTCTCTAAGCAGCATTTTACGTCGAATCACTTTTCAAATTGTTGTTACCAAATATTATCGCCCTATATTATATGTATTTAAAGAAATTAAAAGTAATCTTCGGATTATGGAACTTCGCGAAAATTTGGCGACCAACCCTGCTATAGCAACTTGCTATTTTTTTTTTTTTTTTTTTTTACGCCATTTTGTTTTCACGAAGTAAAGGCATGTCCCCCCCCCCTCAACAATCTGCTAGCCAAATTACGCTTATGCTAGAACTTTTATGGAACAAAAGTGCTTAATCATGACGAAGATTAGGTGCGAAATTGGGAGAAAGTGCAGAATCGCCCACTGCTTGCCGCGTTTTTAAGAATTGCACATACACGGTATCCATGTACACGTCGACCTATTTTCACTTAAAAAAACATCCCAGAATTGCACCAAAATGGCCCTTTCGCACACTCTTGACTTTATCCATGTACACTGCTAAAGTCCTAGCTAGTAACCTTTATCGCCTTACCAAACTACCTGTTACCATATTCCAAAGATTAGCCAAATTAAATAATGAAGAATCTGCATGAATGTATGTATGTTACTCGCAATGTGAAAAAACAACAGTATTTACAGCCATCAAATTTTGAATAACACAGTTCTCCACCGGAACATGGGACCTAGAGGCCCAATTTCGAATTTTTTATTATCTGATTCATATTTTGTAAAACTTTAACGAATTTTTGATTAACAAACTCAACGATTTCAAAGCCAGCAATGCGGCAACACTGAACGGAATAAAATATTTTTATCTCCAGCTCGCGAGACTGTCTATCGGAAATTCTGAAAATAAGATTTTAAATATTTTTAGGCCAAAGTGGCGTTAGCCCAAATTTTCTCGAAACGGCTCTCAAAATTGTGTATGTGTGTGTAATTGCGGGGAGGAAAAAAAAAAAAAAACTGAAAGATTTCAGATTTTTTAAAATTTAACTGTTTAATATACGGGGTCATATATAAATTATAAATATACAATAGTGCATTACTACCAAAATAAATGCATGAATTTAAAAACACACTTTATAACTGATACCAGAAATAAACAACTGCCTGCTCAAAACGTGCATAATTCCAAGTACACCTAAATAAAACACACATTACACAAAACTGCATTTCTGAAAATTTTTGTATAGAATAAAGCTTAGAATAATTTTTCAGTTATCACAGAACCCCTGTATAAAAAAGATATTATGCTTACAGCTATAAAGGTGTAGCATATCGGCAGCCGGATCAATAGTTTCGCAATCATTAGCAGCAAATTACAATTTTACTTCAGAGAATATTTTTCTATGCATTAGTTTATTTCCGTCTAACATATCTCATTTTATACATACTTTTTTACATATGATAATAATTACGTATAATATACGACACGGGAAGAAAATGCACAGAGACTTGATATTAAATTTTAACCCTATGCCAGAAAACTAAGGTAAACCTGTTTTCTTCTGCTTCTGTGCGAAATTTCCAGTCGATTAAAAACCTGATTTCAAGACGAAATCTATTCGTACATAATATGAAAACAATCTCTTCCCCCACTTTCCCGCTCCATGTGAGAAATATTTATTCATGCCATATACACGATTGTTATAAGATCTGATAGGATGGTTAGTCGTTAATTTGTGATTACCTTCCATTCTGCAGTTTATTACTACACTAAACATGTACATATAGTTTAGGAAAAATCGTCACTTCGCTCACATTCTCTCGACTCCCGATTAAAATCGTGCGCCCTCTATTGGCGGCTTTTCCACAATGTCATCTATCGACTGTTTACACGATATGTTACCAAATTTTTCTGAAGTATAAACCATTGAAAAAGTACAAAATCTTGCATTTTGAATCGTTATACCCACTGGCCTCTCAGAGAGACTACTAGGTATACCATCCAATGTTACTACGTATATGCAATCCAATGATCCCTTTAAGGATTAAAAACATTAAGTCTCATATGAGCCGATTCAAGACAGTTCATATCCTAGGAGAACCTGCAGAACTATGCTTTGCTTCTAACAAAAAACATCTACCGTCACAAATTTTATAAAAAAAAAAAAAAAAAAAAAAAATCTGAAATGTTTCAGATTTTAAATTACGTCCAAAGGGGCGTTTTTTAACATTTTGTGTGTGTTACCTTTCTTTATTAAATATCATGTTCCTCGCACTTAAACCATAAGATCCAGTGCAACAGCAATATCGCAAAATAGTTTTAAAACGAGCATATCTTTAGAATTTCCGATACAGAGACTCACGCGCTGGAGATAAAAATGTTTTTTCTGCACAACGTTGCCATTGCTCGCTTTGAAATCCTTGAGTTTGTTAATCAAAAATTCGTCAAAGTTTTAAAAAATAGGAAATCGATCATAAAACAAATTTCAAATTTCAAATTTGGTCTTCCACATGCTCATATTCGTTGGAGGATTACGTTATTCAAAATTCGATGACTCTATGTACCGTTTGTTTTATCACAATACGAGAAATATACATACATTATGCAGATTTTTCATTATTTAATTTCTTCAAATATAATGCAGGACTCTAACATTTTGTGGCAACAGTTTGAAAAGTGAACCGACATTTATGAGTCCGACGCAAAATGCCAAAACGAAACTAATAGTCCTTCGGGATTCAAATCCCTTTGGACTAAAAAAAGACTAATCGACAAAAAAAAAAAAATCTGAAGTTTAATTTTTATTGTAAAGGGTTTTTAAGTTTTACTCTTTTTAATCCATGTTCTTCGCACTTAAACTACATAAAATTCAATTCAACACAGCATTTAAAAACAGCAAAATAGCCATACCTTTAGGATTTCCGATATACAGTCTTCGCGTTGGAGATAAAAATGTTTTTTTCCGTGTTGTGTTGCCATTGTTCGCTTTGAAATCGTTAAGTTTGTTAATCGAAAATTCGTTAAAGTTTTACAAAATTTTAAATAGATAATAAAACAAATTCAAAATTCGGGCTTTCAAGTGCCCACTTTTGGTTGGAGGACTACGTTATTCAAATCTGATGGCTCTAGGTACCTTTGTTTTTTCACGATGCGATAAACATTCATGTATTCATGCAGATTCTTCATTATTCAGTTTCTTTATATAAAATGCATGGCGATAATATTTTGTGGCAACAGTTTGAATAGTGAACAAACGCAGAAAGTGAAATGCCGTTTTGAGACTAATAGCGATTTGGGGTCTAACGCTCTTCTGGGGTTTAAAAAAAAAAAAAAAAAAAAAAGATATTTTGACGATTTCAATCTATACGTTACCAGAGAATTTTATCATTTGCATTAATTACACTTTAAAATTAAGCAAATCAGGCATAGGCGTGTTTCTCTTCCATTTGATAATCACATTTCATTTTTAGTATAGACATCGACGTACGGAGGAAGTACTCAAAAATCTTGCAACAGATAAAACTAAGATATTAATAACATTAGTTGTAAATGTTAGTAAGAAGTACAACTTGTTACCAAATGACTCGCTTTGTTAGGCTGATAAGTAACTTCCGTAATATGAATGAAAAGTGAAGGATTTTACACCTCCTCGACTGGCAACAGTTTCCAAAAGCGAACATTATCTTTCAGACTGTAAAAATAATAACAATTTTAGCTTAATTTTTCAAATCAAATTTTTCAAGTGTTGGAATATAAAAAGATGCGTTAAAAAATTTAACACTGATTTCTTTAACTAAGAGGAATATTTACCGCACATTATATAACACACAAACGAATGGTTTCGTAACACATGTTATGCACATGAGTTAACAACTACAAGTATTATATACTAACTGACGATTGGCCAGTTAAGAAAACTCCCATCACAAATATAATATACCTAAAACGACACGATTTTCTCTGAATGTGAAAACAATAACACATTATTTTTTGCGGTTAGAAACTCCGGAGAGTTTTATTATGTTTGGCTTACTTCATTACATATTTGAAGGTAAGGCCTTTAAGGGGTCAGCTTTATACCTCATGATGATAATTAAGAGTCAATTAACTTCCATCCGATTCCATTCATGATTTGCTGAACTCCGCCACGTGAGTTGACACTATCGTTCAATTATACATCTCGATTCCTGACTCTTAACATCTGAAATCACTTCAACTCATCTGGCAAATAAGAAATTGCACAGAATATAGACGTACAGATCTGTCTAAGTATAATTCATTTCACGGGGTGGGGAATCCTAGTAACAGCTTGTTTCCTACAGATCTGGGAAAATGTAGGAGACATATGGAGGCATTTTGCTTGATAGCTATCCCATGCAAATTGTGGACTGATGATATTCGATTCCCACCCCGCCCCTTACACGTGTCCTCTTGAACTGAAGCACAAATGGAGTGAGGGTG